TCGAACACGACTGGACAAAAATTGTCAAGGGGAACCTTTACCTTTACCTTTACAAGCTAGACAGGCCCCCAAGGAAGATGCTTGGAAGGCTTATATTTCAATCAGAGTTTCTTAATATTATGCTAAAGGTCTGTAGCTGGAAGTGGTCTGTTGGCTCTATATACAGTACAACAGTGACTCTTGAAGCTTCTGATAGTCCAGGACTATACCTCCCCAAGACACTGAGAAATATCATACATTCTTAAGAGCCCTGGCTCTAGGTAGTATACTCCAGGCAATATTTATGTGGCCAGGGTAAGGTTGCCTGTTATAAGTGTAGTTTTAAAAGGGAAATACAGTATAGATTGTTTTCTGTTGAAGGAGGAGGAGTGTTGATTGGCATGTGCCTACAGGAGAAGCCATATCAAATCCAACAAACATGTTAAATTTAAGAGACAACTTTGAAGCTCTGGAAATAGCCTTTGTGATTATAGCTTAAAATTAGTAAATTTATGCTCTTTCCTCTTGTAATAAATGGGATCAAAGATCTGAGAGCCACTGCCCACAAACAGTACTGGATGTGTGGATTTACCTAAGGTCAGACACTATGCAGTGTCACCAATGCAGCAACAAGAACAAGACCCTCGCGTGGTAGGGTCTTTCCCTCCCTGCCTTTTCATTTGTAAATAGCAGCCATGTAGGAACAAACAGATCATTTCTGTCAGCAATGAACAGAAACTACACATTTCTTTTCTAGCAAAAAGAATGCATCATAACTTCAATAAACTCGGCCTTGTATGTAAGCCTCCCTGAAGAGCCACATCTTACTGAGATGGGGGCATCCATAGAAAAATGGAACCAGGCAGGCTTTCCTAAGGAAAGCATTCCACAGTGGGAGCACCAGAGGTGAAAACTCCTCAGGCCTTTGTACTTAACCTGCCTGACTTCCATGATTAAGCTGGACCTCTGGTTTGATCAGCCTGCACAGGAGCCTACTGGGACTTATGCTACACAGCATTGCTCTGTGGCACTTATGCTGCATCTGTCCCTTGCGAGATTGGTCTTCCCTCCAGTTGCAGAATGCAGGCCATGTATTGATGATACCTTCTATACTGCTTATCAATCTTAGGTTCTTGGGGTAGTTTGCAAAGCATGTACTTCAGTATGATACAAACTCAGATCAAATGGTATCAAAATAGATTGAAAACAGTATCAGTACATGTAGCATAATACATGTGGTTTCAGTGATGCAGAATTTCAGATCCCCTGACTGTAATTGCATTTTTAAAGGAAAATAACATCTGACTATTGCATAGTGACCCTTGATTAAAATAAAACTGCTGCTGTGATTATTCCATGCATTCTATCAGTCTGGAAAACCTTAAATTATGTAGTACTTCAGTGGCTTTGGCAACATTTGAAATCGCAACCAGTGTTATTAGAATTCATAAGGGAGTCAGGAACTATATTAAAGAACATGCGTGAGAGCATTTCTGGATATATACGTGTGTGTGTGTACAGAGAGAGCATTCTCATTGTTGACCAGGACTGCCATGCTAGGTTTGCTTGAAAGGGCGCTGGTGGTGGGTTGCTTGGTGTTTTGTTTTCCTTCTCATTTATTTCCAAGGTCTCTCTCTCTCTCTTTCTCTCGTGGCTCTGGTGACAGGCACGATCCGTAAGGCTCAGAACCTTCTGAAACAGTATTCTCAACAGTGTCTAGATGGGAAAAAGGGGGCCTCTAACCTCATTCCTACGGAAGGTAATCACTTGTCTCTCACTTTCACTCTTGGGCTCTGATTTCACATTCAAGACTTCTGTTAGTCTTTAGCCTCACTGCTGGTGTCCAACTCAAGAAGTGCAAGAAGTCATCTGGCTTCTTTTGGACTCAGCATCTGCATACAAGGTGATCAAAGTAATGCAGTAGCAGGTAATGCTTCTTAGAGTTCTGGAAAGCTGTGAGTTACCGAAATTTAAGGGATCCTGATCTGGGTCGCAGTTTAACTGGCTAACAGAAGTTCTATGATACCTTGGTGACCTTTCCTTCCATGTTTCTGTCCTTGTTCACTTTATCTCAAAAAGTAGTAGCTCTTTCAGCTTCGATCGGATCAAAATGGTTAACCCTAAGGTACACGTCCTCTTTTTGGGGAGTGTATGTTTGTCCAAATTATGACACTTGCTTTTGGCTACCATCCTTGTCTTTTCATGCCACGTCTTTATCCTGCTTGAAACTGCTACTACAGTAGTGGGTGTCCAGAGAAGGGATGGCAGATTGGGTTGCCCGGAAAATACTTGCAAATGTCTGATGAGCAAATAAAACATGAAGGGACAAGCGCTCATGCTGTGATGGCCCTGGATAAACCACTCCTTCTGTTAATGCCCGTTGACACCTTGCTAGGTCATGAGCATGATTTACGAGTTAAACATCTTCGAGATACCCTGGCAGACAAGCATGGGCCAGCTGCTGGTAAGTACCATCGCAACATTTAAGCTGGCTAGTCTAACAATGGTTTTTAAAGGGTTTTCTTTTGGTGTTCTTCTGGACTGAGACTTTTTTTTTCAGATTGTTGTGTGATATCTGTGCAACATACAGGGATTGTGCTGATCCTAGCCAGTCTAAAAGATGACCTGTGGGCTGTGTGAACAGAGTCAGTGTGAACAGCACAATCCCAAAAAAGTGGCCATTTTTCCTTCGTCTCCCCTTGTCTCCCATCTCAATTTAGTGTCCCAAGGCTAAACTTAAAGACCTGTAGGAAGACTGCTGCCTGGGCACCTCCTTACCTAGTTTTTTCCTCCTTGAGTATAACAAGATCCTGACTCTTAATATCTTAAAACTTATTCAAAATATTTTACAGGTGGCCAATACATAATGTACAGATTTCCCAAATATCCACTTCAAAGCGCATGTCTGTGTCTTTGCAGGTGTATATTATGTTGATTATGTATTCACACAGCACAAGTGGGAAGTTATACAAAGAGCTAGAATAGCAGGTTGTTTCTTTATCCTAACTACTATTTCCACAGCCCTTAATTTTCAAACCTGGCCCGTGGCTCCCCTCAGAATACTAGAATACATTATGTGCTCAAACGTTTGCTGTGTATAACTGCAAAGTGACTGCTACTGTTTTTCCACATCACAATGGATACCTCTAAAATTGTGAGCGTTGATAAACAGTATGATAGAATTCTGTAAATTTGTAGTGCGTGCTATGCAGCCCGATGGTGAGCACAGACTATTTGGAGGAGTCACTAATAATATCCTGTATAATAGAACACAGTAACGTGATGATGAAGGCAGCAAGTGATCTAACAGAGCAAGATTCTGTAGAATCCTTCTTCTTTAAATGGAACGCCATTCTTTGTTGCCATTTCACAATGTCATAAACGTACGGTGTTGACAACAGTACTGAGGGCCGTTGCCAGAGAAGTCCTCTGTTTCCAGTTTTATAACCAAATAAAGTCAATTGTCCCTTCAGTGGAGATACAGTGCAGAAATTTGTGATCCTCATGCAAAGATTAAATTTAATGATATATGGCTCTTTCATGACTGACTGCTTCCATTTCCAGAAGAGGGATAACGTATTTCAGAGTTTCTTTTTTAGGCGGGGAGAGATAAAAAGAAAACTTCCCTGTGTGTCAAAAATTTACATGTAAGGAAGAATGTGAGGGTAGAATATTTGTCTCAACATTGTTACTTTTCTGTTCAATGCCAATTTTAGCATGGGGAACAATTCACTGGTGACAGCTATAATAGTGTCATGTTGTACAGTACCAAGACATATCATATGATTATCCTGGTTGTGTGGTTTCCCTGTCAGATGAAGAAAACCACCAGCAGCAGTAGCAGTGGAATAAGACATGAGAATCATGGTGGGCTATTATACTGTATCAGATATTTGCTCCAATATTAAATACAGAGGAAATGATCTAGAGGGAAGGATGTATAGTACTGTGTTTTTTGCTCCATAAGACGCGCTCCCCCCACCCAAAATGTGGGGGAGAATGTCTGTGCGTCTAATGGACCGAAGGCAGCAATTTTGTCGCCGCTGGGCCCCATGGGGGGGAGCGTTGCAAGGGTCCGGGTGAGCCTTCCAGGACCCTTGCGAGGATCCACCCCCCCCCACGGGGCCAGCGCCGGCGAAATCGCCAGCTTCCAGGTGGGGGGGACATCGCAAGGGTCCTGGAAGCTCACTCAGACCCTTGCGACGCTCCTCCCACCCCCGCACGGGACCAGCGCCGGCGAAATCGACAGGTTCTGGGAGTGTTTGGAAGCTTGGGGAGCCTCCAAACACTCACAGAAGCTGGTGATTTTACCCCCCTGGTCCGGTGGCGGGGTGGGGGGAGCGTGGCAAGGGTCCGAGGGAGCCTCCCAGGCCCCTTGCCACATCCCCCGCATGGGGGCCAGCGCCAGCGAAATCACCAGGTTCTGGGAGTCTTTTGAGGCTTGGGAAGCCTCTGAAGAGTCCCAGAAGGTGGCGCTTTTGCCCCCTCTGACCCCCGAGGGGGGCAGGGTGAGTCTCTAAAGCATCCTGGAACACACCCTAGGACCCTTTGGATGCTCACCCTGCCCCCCCCCCCGCTGGGCCAGAAGAGGGGAAATCACCAGCTTCTGGGACTCTTCTGAAGCTTCCCAAGCTTCAAGTCCCAGAAGCTGGCGATTTCGCCCCCTCTGACCCCCGAGGGGGGTCAGGGCAAGCCTCCAAAGGGTCCTAGGGTGTGTTCCATAAAATGGACCTCTCCATAAGGCTCACCAAATTTTAGGAGAAGAAAACAAATTATTTTTTTCCTGTTTTCTTCTCCTAAAAATTTGGTGCGTCTTATGGAAAGGTGTGTCTTATGGAACGAAAAATACGGTAATTACTGTGGGAGGAGGAAGCAGTTAGAAAAAGGCCATTGCTGGCTTCTTATCATTTAAGAGATATCATCCTGACAGGGAGGATCCAAATATTTTTCTGAAGCATGGGATGTATTCCTGAGATCTTCTTCTGTTAGGTTGGCATTTTATTTAAAGAATTTTTGCTTCACTGTCTGCTGCTGAAAGATAGACAATTCTGAGATGTAGTGATCTCTCATAACATCAGTGTTTTTGGAGACATCCTTCTAGTTATCGGCTAAATGGGTTATTTCAAAGATTTCCTGGACCCCTTTGCATGCCATCTATATATTCTACGAGTGGAATATCAAAGCCACTTGAGCTGTGTTGCAGATGGTTTTGTACTATTTATATTTGAAATGGATTTGGGTTTGGTTATCCTATTACTGGTTTCTGTATAGACTCTATTATTACAGTGAGTTCAGAAATGATACCACAGTTTAAATATTTTATTTGGAACATTGAGCTTCAAAAAGAAATATTATTAGACAGACCTTAAAGAATAGTAAGCTAATCCCCAAGTGCTCAGTTAGTGAATAGGCACAAATTAATCAACAGCAAAGACCTTTATATTAATGAAAGAAGATGCACGTGCATGCGCTGAATCAGTCACATTTTGCCATCCCTTCCAATTTTGTACATAGATGCTTAGGACAACTCATTCCCTCTTTTCTAGTACCTGGAGAGTTTTGATTGAGTTGTATCCTATTGAGTACAAAATGTCTCATTTTTATCCCCCCCCCCCAATTTTGGCAAGCTCACCCTATGCAAAGCACTCGGCTCGTATCGGCTGAATCACTGGTAAAGATTGCAGACAGTATGCTAGGCAGAAGCAGATGGCAGCCCAGATATCAGCCACAGCTGTCTGTATGTCATGTAACTACAGGAAACTAATCTCTTATATGTATATGCAAATCCAACAGGAAGAGATGACATGCTGGACATGGAGATCGATGCATACATCCATTGTGTCAGTGCCTTCATCAAACTGGCCCAAAGTGAATACCAGCTTCTGACAGAAATCATCCCAGAACATCACCAGAAGAAGACATTTGACTCACTTATCCAGGTACAATGGAAAGTTAGCATTGCTTTTTTCCTTTTGCCATTGAGAAAAATCCAGTGTTCATTTCTCTGATACACCCATGATTTATTTTCTTCTAGGAATCTTTAGATAATCTGATGATAGAGGGGGACAATATTGTCTCTGCTGCCCGGAAGGCCATCATACGTCATGATTATTCAGCTGTGCTGACAATCTTCCCCATCCTGAGGCATTTAAAGCAGACAAAGCCAGAATTTGATCAAGTTTTGCAGGTAAGTCATTAGGAAAATAAAATGTGTCGCGGCAAAACATGGCCAGGCATTGTCAGGATGCAGCATCTAGTTATTTGTAGTAGATTTGAAGAGCATGTGCTTGTTTGTTAGCAGTTGAGAGCTGTAGCATGAGGAAGATCAGTTCACACAGGTGTCTAAAAAAAGGAGAAATAGCTGGAACTGAAATTGAAATGTTTAAGATTTTGTATGTGGAACTGCAGATCACAAAATGCAGAACCTGAGGATGTGTAAGAGTTCAGGTGAATGTGATAGACAGAGACTTATTTATGTATTTAAAATATTATTATCCTGCCTTTCTCCTTAAAAAGTACTGAAGGTGGCTTATATAATTAAATAGAATTCAATATGTAACGCTAACAGTGAGCATACAAATATTTAAAAGGACCAAGCAAGTACCACACAATGAAATAGAATTCAATATGGAAAGCTAACAGTGAGCATACAGATATTTAAAAGGACCAAGCAAGTACCACACTAAAAGCAGTAAACAAAAACACATTCAAAAGCACAACCATCCATTAAAAAACTTCAGTCAGGCAGCCAGTCTCTGAAGGAAAGCTTGTTTGAAGGGAAAACTCCAAAGTCTGGGAGCATCAACAAAGAAGGCCCTCTTTCATGTCCCCAACAAACACACCTATGAAAGTGGTGGAACCAAGAGAAAGGCCTCTCTGGATGATTTTAATTAACATTTGAACAGCTTACAAAGGGAGACGTGATCCCTGAGATCATTAAAGTAAGGAAGGCTAGGTTTGAATTACATAGAACTGGAGAAAAATGTCCAGAATTGGCTAGAGATCATGGATTAATCCAACTAGGAGTATTAATGCAGTATAAGGTTGCCAAACATTCTCAAGCAAAGTTTGTGGTGTTAATTTTTCTCTTCTAACATTTGCCTTCCCAATAGTATTGGCCGAAATCCATTTGTTTTGGAAGTGATTGGGCGTTTTCTGAGCTTGCAGAAGGATGTCTTACTACATCCTAGCAGAGTCTTAAGCCCCATTAGCTGCAGTGGGGCGATTCTTTGGCTTGCATATAGCAAGCTGGAGATCGTGTGGAATATGATGCCTGTGGGATGTTACATTCCACAAGAAAAAACAGAATGTTATCCTTCATCTCTTAAAACATTTCACAGTATAAGACACCCAGAACAGTACAACACAAATCCAATATGCTAACTTTATTTTTTAAAAGTCTCGACCTGCCACCTGAATAAATTGTTCTATATGTTGTACTTGATTTTTCAGGGCACTGCAGCTGGCACTAAGAATAAGCTTCCAAGTCTTATAACTTCAATGGAGACAACAGGAGCCAAGGCTCTGGAAGATTTTGCAGACAACATCAAGGTAACTCTGCTGTATTTCTTGAGGGTAGTTCAGGAAATCTGTGCAAATGTTTAATGCAGTATCTTAGGAGTTATCATGGGGAAGAGAAAGAAGGAACTGACTTCTCTAATTTAGAATCTGTTTTTCTAATTAAATTGAGTTGATAGCATCTCTTAGCAGATGCTATTGCCATCTATATTAGAGCAGAGTCCATACAATATTTTAGAAATGTTCCCAGATGTTTTGGCTGTGAAAGAAATAGATATAAGTTATGGATGGTGGCGTGTGTAATTAAATTTGGTTTTGCCCAGTTTCTGTTTTTTGTAGTTGCCTATAGGTGGTGTCCATGGTCTTTTAAGGCTGTAGGGGAGCATACATGTGGGGAAGATTTTATAAAAATAATGGTGTAGTAACAAGCTGATAGTTTTATGCTGCAGAGATTGGTAAATACTCTTTTTCCTCCTTTCTCTAGAATAATCCTGACAAGGAATACAATATGCCAAAAGATGGAACAGTTCATGAGCTCACCAGCAACGTATGTGAAGCCAATTTCAAATACCCCTGGGTAAAACTAATCCAGTGCCTTAATTCCCTCCTCTATTTTTTTTTTTTTGCCATATAAGGACAACAAAGTAGTCCAGTAGTTGGAACAGAACAAAATAATGTATTTTTAAAAGGTTTGTCACCTTTGCGTTCCGAAGCTCAGAGTAAGGCAGTGAATGATGTACAATATTTTTTCTCCCAGATGTCTTTCTTATTTTATAAAGGCTGATACCTTGAATATTTAACTTTGACTGCATTTGGCTGATACCAGCAGAGAAGCTACAGGCAACAGTTTTACATGCCTCCCACCTCTACACTAGGTTGGCCAGGAAAGCGGAAACATGGCCAACGTAGGAGTTGCCTAATGGCTTATCTCAGTGGTTCCCAAACTTTCTGGACTCGTGGCTCCCCTGAGCAGTGGCAGTGGCGGCAGAGCAGGAGGAATGGTGAGGGGTGTGTGAGATGGAGCAGGAAGCAAAGGAAGCCTGAAGGGGCCGGAACTGGCACTGGAAGAGCAGCACCATCACCGCCTGCTGCCGCCAGCTTGGCAAAGAAATGAAAGGAAACGTTCTCATTGCTTTTGACTGACTTGGTGGCACACCAGGGAGTCGCAAGAGATGTGGGGCGCTACGACGCACACTTTGGGAGCCCCTGACGTATCTTCTTGTGTCTCTTTTCTCTCCGTGAGATCACATTTACAGTCCATGGGCCATGCAATTCAGAGCCTATGGGTACCTGCCCAGCTTTAGGGTCTGTTTAGCTTCATCCTCTTGGAGTTAGAAGGTGTTTTATCTAGTTTAACATAATTTCTTCCATGTTATGCACCTGGGTTCTACAGCAGTTGGAGCTCAGTCCCACTGACAAAAAGAAGAGCTGTTGAATTGGGTTTTGCTTGTTAGAAAATCAGTTTAAATTAAGGTGTTTCTATGATGTGAATGGAAGCATGAAATTTTTTTGCCTGGGAAGCATGGTTTGGATTGGAAAGAAAGGTAAGATACTCTTCCACCAAAGGGTTATTTTAAAATGCCTGTAAAACTGAATTATTTCAAATGTTTTGATGTATATAAATCCCCCTGTCAGTGTAAATTGCATCTTTGCCCACCCACTGGCTAGCTTACATGCCCACCCCTTGCCTTGCTTTCTAACCCAACTGGCTCTCTCTTATTTGGATTGCTGTAGCAGCCTGGCTTCAGTGCTCAGCAGCTGGACAGAAGAAACACTAACAGTGACTTGTATAATGCAATTATAAATTACATTAAGCAAAACCCAGTTCAGCCATGGTCCTTTTTGTCAGTGAAGCTCAAAAGTCTTCCCCTCCTTGACTCCGAGGGGCGGGCAGGGTGCTAGCCTCATATCTGATTGTGCAATGTTTTGGGACCTTTTTGCAGAACAGTTGCCTGAGTTCCTCAAGATTTCAGCCATGACCTTAAATATCTACAATACTGATCTACTTCAGACTCTGTTCTCTTGAGCTTGTTCTGCTTGGCAAGCGATATAATGACTAAGAAGTAGACAGAATCATAAGTACTAGGAGCCTTTCATTCTGCCCATGCCTACTCAGTACGTTAATGCTGTGCTTCAGGCTATAGCTCTCAGATCTTTGACATGAAGACACAAACTTCAGCAAACGTTAAGGGGGCTATAATCTGGAGAGCATATCTTCCACATTTGGATTTCGTTAAGGTCAAGAGGTATGCTCTTTTGTGTGTTTTTTGGGCATCAGTTTCCAGAATTTTCCAAAAATAACAAGTGCAGCTCACAAACCCAAATCAGCATATTTCTGGGCATCACTCCCCCCTCTCCCCAACAAAGGAGTTTTAAGTGATTCACCTGCATCATTCTCTCCTCTGGCCTTCCTGTTTCTTGTTGCTTCTTGTTGTTTATTTGTTGAAACAAGGAAGTTGCCACTATGCTTCCTGGGAGTCACAGACTTGTTAACCTTTAGGCTGTATAGAAGAACTACAATGGGACCCCTGTATCCACAGTTTCACTTATCCACGGTCTGAAAATATTGAAAGGGAAAAAACTGTTTTCACATATATTACCAGAACAGGCCACTGGATGGAGCCAGAGACCATACTACGCATACTTGTTACTTGTTAGTGAAGAATACTGTATATAGTATGGTGTCTGGCACCCTCTGGCCAGTTCTGGTAATGCATGTGAAAATATTTTTTCTTATTTTTTCCCCTTTGCCATTATATCCACAGTTTCCAGTATCCTTCAGGGGGCTTGGAACCAATCCCCAGCAGAAATGGGGCTCCTACTGTATAAATTTCAGGAAGCACTGAGGCCAGTCTTTTCAACAAAATGGAGAAGAACTCAATAGGCTGGCTTTAAAATAATAATAAAAAAGAACGCTGTGTTTCTCTCCTCTTTTTACAGGCCATGCTCTTTCTGCAGCAGTTGCTGGATCTTCAGGAAACAGCTGGTGCAATGTTGCCATCCCAAGGTACTTCCACAAGGCTCCCTCAAAAAAAAGAGAGAGAGAGAGAGAGAAGAATTTCCGTAGCATCGAGTGGTTATTTGCTTTGCTTGCTTCACAGTAAATCTTCTTAACAAGGATGCAGCTCATTCGTACCTTCTCTTTCTCAGCCTTGTAGTTTAATCTATCACAGCAAAAAAAACAAAAACAAAAAAACAAAAAAAAACAGCCTTTGAAGGAGTTTAAGACCTCTAAGAGATTCCTCTAGTTTTCTCATCACACCTTCGAGAATACATTTCTTATCACACATTAAGTATGCTGGTAGTTCTATGATATTTATAATGTTCAGACAAAGGATGGATTGTAAAAATAGTTTTTAATGTCTGAAGAGCAGTAGCTGTCAGAGACAGTTTCAAAGTTTTCAATGCCTCATGGAGGGGCTGTTTGCAGGGTGGGTTTCTTTTTTTGTTATGATCTGCTTGTAATGATGGTATGGAATATTTGACACCGAACCAGTTTCTTTTGGTTGAATAGATTTTGAACTTTTAAAATTTAGAACACTTTTGCTTCTACTAGAAAGAAAAGCTAGCTGTTTAATTTTACATTGTCAATTACTGGTCTGTGCCACAGACTGTGGAGTGCGTAATTTAGGAAGAAGGCTTTATCCAGCAATCACCTCATTTTCCCATGAAATTTGTGAGGGTAATCATGCCCATTTTTAAGATACTTTCAATTTTAAAAGCTGCTGTTGCATTAAAAAAACCCATTACAGTTATTCATGTGAAACTTGACAGCCTTGATTACCCTAAAAGAAGTGTTATATGTGGAATTTTTCACCAATGCTGCCAATAGTTGTGGGTTTTTTAATATAAGCAATTCAGTCTTTTTTAAAAAATTGCCTGCAGTTTTACAGTCACAGCCCCCTCTTTAAAGGGCAGCAAGGCCTGCAAACCTAATTTAAATTTGACCGAAAGGGGGAAGTATTCTTTTTCCATTTCTAGTGATAGTACAGCCAGAAACCATCTGATTTCCATACTTTAACTCAGATTCAAGAACAAAGTCTCAGCAGAATCAGAAGTACAAAATCAGGTATGGTTAATTCACACCTCTAGTTTCTGAGTACAGTGGTGCCTCGCTAGACAGTTACCCTGCATGACAGTTTTTTCGCTAGACATTGACTTTTTGCGATCGCTATAGTGATTCGCAAAACAGTGATTCCTATGGGGGAATTTCACTGGACAATGTTTGGTCCCTGCTTCATAAACGAATTTTCGCTAGACGACAATTTTGACAGCTCCACACTCGCAAAACAGGTGGTTTCGGGAACTAAGCTTCGCAAGACAGCGATTTAAACAGCTGATCAGTGGTTCACAAAGCGGCTTTCCTATGACCGATCTCCGCTAGACAACAATGATTCTTCCCCATTGGGATGCATTAAACGTTTCAATGCATTCCAATGGGGAAATGCTTTTCGCTAGACAATGATTTCGCTAAACAGCAATTTCAGTGGAACGAATCGTCTAGTGAGGCACCACTGTAGTTTTTGCTGTGAGATAACAGTGAAAATTATCCATTTCCTATGATACTCATGTTTTAAAAAGAGGCAAGAGGAACTTTGAGAGAAAAATATTCAAAGGGAGTTCTGGTTTGTCCATCAGATCCATGCTAAGAAGGTTTCACTGTACCTAATGCACCTTGCATGGTCTCCCATCTGTCTTTAAACACTGCCTGAATAATGCTTGAAACATAGTCCACTTGTGAGACAGACACATCAGTAATCCCTTCCTCATGTTTCCTTTGCCTTGCTAAAACTGGTTATGGGCAAAGACAGTCATGGAGCAAACTCTTTGGTCACAGGTAAACAGTTAATTGCCAGCAGAGAGAGCAAAGAAGCTGTCTCATGTCTGAAATTCAGTTGTGTCTCAGATGAGAGCAGTTGCACCCAAGTAGGAAATACTTGTGGATATATACAATGTAACATAATAAGCTGCAAACTTATACCTAGCGAATTTGATGGAACTCAGCTGAGTAAACCTGTGCAGAATTTTGCTGCCTAAAACTGAGTGGCTCCTGTCTGCTGAACCCATAGCACTCTCTGTGTTGGTATCTTCTGTCTTATTCTTGGAGGTATGGTTGTCTCTAACCTGTCTTTTTGCACCTTGCATTTTTCTCTTTTCTCTTTTTTCCTCCCTTTTTATCTCTGCCTTAAACTTTATAGTTCTTGGGGACACATACAATATTCCTTTAGATCCTAGAGGTAAGCAGCAGTAATGCTTGTACTTCCCACATGCATATCTAATAACTATTTTTTACATCTAGTTACATATTTATGTATGTTTTTAATCTACTCAGTAGAAATCTGGCCGTTTAAATCTGTTGGAGAATCTCTTGGAGCTGAGTATCAGTGATTGTGGTGGTTTTCCTAAGCTTAACAATTGATACATTAATTTTCAGAGAGGCTAGATATCAGTAAAGCAGCACAATGGTTGAAGGTACACATTTGCGTAGATATTAGTAATAGACTGCACACTCTTGATCAAAACAGTTGCTTGTCTGTTGTCCCCTTTCTTGGGCAAACTATGTTTTACATAAGCAACCATACACTGATTTCCCCTGTAGCAATTTTTTTTCCCAAGAAAAGCAATGTATTTTTGAGCAGGTGAATGAATCTGATATTTTCCCACTCTAAACAGCACACACATACCCTGTTTTTTCACCCAGAGATGGTAGCCCAGCTATACGTCTTCATTTGCAAACACACAAGCGGAGCTCCACACGATGAAGGAACCATTTGATGTGAAGTGTTACAGGAAAGACTGGATGAGAAAAAAGCTTAATGGCTGCTGCTGTATATCTATGTGTAACCGCATAGACTCATACACCTTTATTATTTTTGTTTACCAAAACTGTCTATCAGGGCTCTTTCCTAAACTATACTCTGTAACCTACTATAGCATGTAAAATGTACTTCACCCCTTAACTGCACGTGAGACGTCTCTTAAAAGATCTTGTCTTGCTAGTGCTTAAGTGGGTCGCCATGTATGGAGAGCAGTTCGTTCCTAGATTATCAGACATGCCAGTCATTGAGTCTGTCTTCATTTGAGGACCCAGTCTCTACCGTGAAATGCATTAGCAACTAGCTGCTAATATATCACTTGTGTTTAATTATTCCCAAATTTCATGCTCCTGTGTATGGCCTCTTTTCTGGAGAAAACCATCAAAGCCCTCTCAGCACACCAAACCAAGTGAATACCTTCTAAGCATTCATATACGTATAAGCCTTCATCAGATTCAAAATTCTCATAAACTGCTTGATAATGCCCATACTGGCTTGAATCAACTAGCGCACAGTTCTAAATCTAATCAAGTTAGTTAGTTAATGTTAGTTAATTGTGTTGGGGCTTTGCTGTGCAAAACTGCATCTAATCTACTTTTTGAAAAGCAGAGCTTTTTCTATGCCAGAAAGCTAATACGTCTGCTCCAGCTCCCCCTGCCACACCTACAGTCAGGATACCTGAGTCCTTTCTAAGAACACTGCTCAGTAATTAATACTGAGTTGGTTATGCTCAGTCATGATGCATCTGTTGGTTGGGTCTGAAGGGCTACTATGCCCTTGCTGACTTGATCCTTAAAGGTATAGGAACATACTTCTTTCCAGGAATTACTGGATCTGCATAAGCAACATTTTCTGATTGAGCTGGCTCAGTTACTGCTACTAGCCAACATAGATGATAGCATTCACTTTTGTCTTGTTCAAGTAAAGAAAACTTTGGATATTTCGTTAATGATGATGATAGTAACAACTATGTATCGTCAGGTCAGTTCCAACTTATGGAGAACATTTCCTGGATTGTCTAGGGAGAGAGTACTCAGAAATAGTTGTTGTGGGTTTTTCAGGCTCTTTGGCAGTGTTCTGAGGGTTGTTCTTCCTAACGTTTCGCCAGTCTCTGTCGCCAGCATCTTCAGAGGACAGCACTCTGTGCACTCTGCCAGAGCACTGAGTGCTATCCTCTGAAGATGCCGACCACAGAGACTGGTGAAACAGGAAGAACAACCTCCAGAACACGGCCAAAGAGCCCGAAAAACCCACAACAACCATTAGATCCCAGCCGTGAAAGCCTTCGCGAATACATTACTCAGAAATCGTTTACCATTCCCTTCAGGAGGTGCTCTAGGGCCATGCAGTTTGCCCAAGCCATGCAGGCTGGTTCTCCTCCTCCGTGGTACAGTCGGGAATCGAACTCCCAGCCTCTGGCTCTGCAGCTGGTTGCTCCATCTCATTGAACTATCCAGACAGCTGGATATGTCCTTCCTCGCTCTGCTGTTATTTCATTATTAATATAACCAATCATTTGATTTCTGTGAGCATCAGGTAGCACTTTCTAACATATTTATTTACTATCATAGAAGGTATTACCTGATGGCTATGAAAATAAAATAATTGTTTATGTTTAGAGTGAAATAGCACATTACATTTTCATTGTTCTCAGAACTGATATTTTGGTTCTATCCTAATCAGAGGGTGAAACAAATTTTATAGTTGAGAAGAGGGGTGTTTAGCAGTCAGTTCCTATGCAAGGGTATTCACGGTGTCTGACCTTGGAAAGATTGCTCTCGAGTAGTTCATAGAGATAGCAGAAATCTACTCTGCTTAGGACAGATTGCTGCTGCAAGAGACAAAAATACTGTAAACTATTTGGGAACAGTATAACTAATCAAATGCTCATTCCATTTTAGAGACCAGCTCTTCAGCCAGTAGCTACAGTTCTGAATTCAGTAGAAGGCTGCTCAGCACCTACATCTGTGAGTAAGCTTTGCCTTAGGCATCTTTCTATACCTTTTCAAATTTGAGATCAGTACCTTCCTGAATCAATGAGCACACAGTTTTAGAAATAACTACAGCTACTTCCTCATCTCTGGTTATAGTCCTATGCACAGTTTCCTGGGAGTACACGCCACTGAATACAGACGAGACATTTATTTCCAAGTAAACATAGGATTGCACTAACAGTTGCTCATCTTGGTAATGGTATTACAAAGTGGGACCATGTTGTATTATATAGAATGTTTTGCAGGTCAATATCAGTTGAAGGCTGGCTCCAGCCAGGCCATCTTTTGTTTGCCTGTATTGTGAACTGGATAAATTTATGAATGAAAAACATCTAGGAACTGTATTACTATTTTCCCCCTTTTTGTGTGTGTGTGGTGAACAACAGCAGTTTTGCTCCCCTGGCTCAATCTCAGCTTGCGCATAAACTACTATATACAGTGGTGTCTCGATTTACGAACATCCCAACATACGACCATTTTGAGTTACGACCAGCTTCGGCTGCAAAATTTTGCTTCAACTTGTGGCTGGAGCTTCAAGTTACAAACAGAAAAGGGCAGGGGGAAAAGGTGGGGAATTCAAATTGCTAACTGTTGGTGGCGAAGAGGTTGCTTCTTTGTAGCTCTTTCGCCCCAACGGTTAGAGTGAGTGCAATCGGAGGAGGCTTTGGACTGTCTGGAGCGCTGCTTTCTACTTTTTAAAAATTGTTCTGGGTGGGTTTTGCAGCGTGGTTTTGAGCTGGGTGGTGGGATTATGTTTCTATGCTGTGATGGATCTTGCAGTGTTTGTTCGTTTTTTGGTTGTTGTTTTTCCCTGTTTCTGATGTGTCTTGGGTTTATTTGCTTTTTGGGGGTTTTCCTCCATTTCTGATGGGTCTTGCAGGGTTTGTTTGCTTTTTGGGTTTTCCCCCCCTTTCCAATGGGTCTTGGGGTTTTGTTTGTTTGTTTGTTTGTTTTGCTTTTCCCCCCCCATTTCCACTAGATTTTGTGAGGTTTACTTTTTGCTTTGCTTTTTTTTGCATTTCCGGGTCTTGCACGGTTTGTTTGCTTTCTGCTTTGCTTTCCCACCCCATTTCTGATGGCTCTTGCACGGTTTGTTTGCTCTCTGCTTTGCTTTTTTGCATTTCCAGTGGGTCTTGCACAGTTTATTTGCTTTTCTTTCCCCCCCCCCTTTGGCTGGAACAGATTAATTCTGTTTCCAATGGGTCTTGAAGTGGTGGGTTTTTTGGTGATTTTTTTTCTTTCAGCTGGAAAGGATTAATTGCATTTCATTGTATTTCGCTTTTCCCCCCCTTTGGCTGGAACTGATTAATTGTGTTTCCAATGGGTCTTGAAGTGGTGGTTTTTTTGGTGATTTTTTTTTCTTCAGCTGGAAAGGATTAATTGCATTTCATTGTATTTCTATGGGAAATGGTGCTTCGACTTACAACCATTTCGAGTTACAACTGGAGTTCCGGAACCAATTAAGTTCGTAAGTCGAGGCACCACTGTAGTTTACATAGGTGGCAAACAGTGTCTTATTGGTAACTGCAATTTAAAGCCTAAGAGTTCTTCAGTCCTTAATGAAGTGAATTCACTCCATATATTAAGCGTGTGTGTATGTGTGCGTGCACGCGCCCCCCGTGTGTCAAAAATCCATTTTTCCAATGTATGTCTTGGCTTTTATTAAGCCCCCCGTGTATCAAAAATTGACTTTTCCAATGTATGTCTTGGCTTTTATTAATTATCTTGCACTTGAGACACTGTCTTTCAGAATTTTCACGAAAGCATTTTTACTGAGACTTTGTGACATGTAAATGAATTTGAATTTAACCAGCCAGTTAAGTGAACTGCATTGGTAAACACTGCACAACTCGAATACCTTTGTCAAACTTGATTATCTTTACAATGCTCGTGCTCTCTTCTTCGTCTTCTATTAAGGCAAAGTTCTTGGCAACTTACAACTAAACCTTCTCAGTAAATCCAAGGTTTATGAGGACCCAGCTTTAAGTGCCATCTTCCTGCATAACAACTACAATTACATTCTCAAGTCCCTTGAAAAGTAAGTATACAAATTTCACTCATGGTAATGGTGCATGCTGGAATGTCTGCCAGCCCAGTGCCAACATTTGCTCCTGCTTGTTTTTCTTGTAATTCTTCTGCAGAGTCCATTCCGTCCTCCACCGTATTTTTTCCTCTCATTTTCTGTTCCAAAAACGACTCTTTGAAGCCTGTCATTCCTGTTGTAAACACTGTCTTGTATAAGGCAATGGAAAATAAAAGCAGCCAAAATGCTTCTGATTGCATCAGGCACTTTCATCATGTCAGCAGATTCTTGTCCTAGAGAACACTTCTCAGTAAATCTAGGGAGTAATTTTCTGTTGGTTGCTTTGTGTGCTTTAATAGCCATCCCACAACACCCCAGGAAAATAGCAAAACAACTTATTTGAGATGTATCTATAGATGTATCCAGTATTCTGTGCTTTTAAAGCTTGTGGTTGATTAAACCATTCTGTAATACAACAGAGTTTGTTCAGGTTACAGCGTTCCATGAGAGGCCAAAACCGATTACTGTTAGGGAGAAGTGTTGGTGCTATTGTTGATCAGGCGGCTCAACCAGCTTTAAGTAGAGATGGATGAGTAATCATACTCTCTCTGTAGAGGAATGTGATAAAACATGAGTTAGTCTGTTCTTATAATCATTATAGGGAAATCTCTTAGCCTCAGGTCCATCAGACAATTGTGTTCAGCTGCCAGAAGCTCCCAAGTCTTTGAGCCATTAATTGAAAACTCCCAGTGCAAATACGCGATTTTTATACTTCTTCATCCTCTGCAATTGGCCTTTGCTGTCAATGCCTCAGCGCCCATGAATGGCCACAGCCCTTGTTGCTATTAGTTTTTTGTCTGTCTTGACATGAGCATCTGCCAAGGTTTCCTCTGTTGTTCCAAATGTGCTCCTTTTCTATCTGTTTCCTCCCACTTTTCCTGCTGCCACCACTTCTTGGGCTGCCTTCTTCCCAATGGGGTTGGAGATTGAAGAGTTTAGAGAATAGCGGGCAAACTTCCATGCGATTAGCAAGTTTAGAATCAAATTCAAACGGATTTCAATATTTTAAATGTCTGAAAGAGTCTAATCATTTTAACATTTAAATTTGTTTGAACTTTTAATCTAAATTTCATATACGTCCATAATTTTAAATTTTGCAATACTCCGATACCAGAAATGGGGACCCGAGTCACAGAACTTGCTGTCAAGTTGGACTTAAGTCACACCGGTGACTTGGACCCAACTCGTGGCTCAGGACCCCCGGGGGGAGGGGGGAAGCTTGTTTTTAACAGAGACTCAGACTTGTGACTTCGTACCAAAGACTGGGACTTGGACCCAGAGACTTGTCAACATCCCTGTCTGATACTAATAAAAAAAAAATCCATGTGCTACCTTTTTATGTTTTGTGAGGTTTACCTCTCTAAAAACCACAGCTTCAGTTTCAGTGGCTCTTGCATTCTATATACACATGTTAAAAATGTTTGGACCATTTTAAAGGGAAAGATTATTTCAGATTAGTCCTTGCGTTTCCAGGCAAACCTGTCCATCAGATGCACCGAAGGAAAATGTCCTTAGAGATTCATCACCATATCTTACCTGACCTGGCCTCCCATTTTCATTCTTAGTACATTTTAAACTGCAGCTGTATCAATTTGATCCTGACCAACAACAGCTTCTTATTTTGAAACAGTGAATAAAAATGAACAATGTGTTGTGTTTTTATCCAGGGAGATTTAACTGGCTTTCAAAATGAACGTGCTTGCCATTGGCAACTGCACTTTTTATTCTGGTGAGACCATTTGACATTCTCTGCAGCCAAGGGAAGCTTAAGATCACCTTTACTTTGCACTGAGTCTGAAAAATTCTGATCCATTCTGGAGTCAGTGCAAGGTCAGAGGAATTCCACGCCTTGCTTTATACTGGGGGAATAGAGGAGAGATCTCCAGGAGCCTTAGAAGGCAGTGGGAGATTTGTGATTGTTTCCAGTCTTTCTGAGATTCAGAGTGAGAAGAGTGGGCACTTACCCACATCGTTTCACCGGGACTTACAAGACACACTCAGATCACCCATGAAGCTCAGTACATCACATTCAAAATCACTCCTCTTCCTCCACAGGGAAGTGGTGGAGCCCACACACATTCCAAGGGTAGCCCAATTTTGCGGAACCCTGTTTTAAAATTAAAACTGCAGAAAGGCTGGGCCACATTGCTTTGTCACGCTTTGTATAGGTGGAAAGATGACTCTGCTTTGTTATTACTTAAGCACTCCATTTCTTTGCTCTTAGGTCTGAACTAATCCAGTTGGTGGCTGTGACGCAGAAAAAACCAGAAAGAACTTACAGAGAACACATTGAGCAGCAGATCCTGACGTACCAGCGCAGGTCAGCAGAAACGATCTGGTCTTTTCTCACTAGAGACAGGACTTCAACAGCATATAGTCAGATTCTAATGACCACACGAAACACTTTTACAGCAGAACATGGTGGAAGCGGGGGGAAAGCGCTTGGTTCTTAAATGCCCCTTCAGTGGCATGAGTGACATAGTCAGGCTGTTGTCGTGATGTCAGTAGAACTTCCACAGCTTGCTTTCTCTTGAGCAAGCTGTCCTTTTGGAGGCTCACATTATCATCGTCTAAGACAGGGATAATTCTGCCTTGGCAGTGGTTGTCCTAGGTGGGGAGTTCCAGCTGTGAAACCTCTGGAGGGCCACAGGTTGCCGACTTGCGGCATTAGCTATGGGTAGAGTTTGCTGATAAAAGGGAAGCTAATATGAGAAAATGTTTTCCTTTATGATTAGTTGAACATGTGGGTTAAGCAAGCATACACATATGTGTATCTGTTGAGAAAATAGTTCAGAGATGAACTTTGTATGTGTGTGTGTTTTGGAAGGAGGGAGGTGAACCAACACTTGTTTTCCGTATTGCATTATGGGCAGGTTGGCTTTCACGGTGTAAGCTCTGAGATGCAAACTAAAGCTCCTGAGCCATCAGTGATTTGAAAAAAACAGAAGTGGCAAAAGCTAGGTTCTCTCCTTTTATATATTAATAATAATCATGAGCTGTCAAGTCAGTTCTGAACTAGGTTCTCTCATTTTATACATTAATAATAACCATGTGCTGTCAAGTCAGTTCTGACTTGTGGGTTTTCCAGGTAGAGAGTACATAGAAGTAGTTTCCCATTCCCTTTCTTCTGGAAGCACCCTGGATCTGTGCAGTTTGCCCATGGCCATGCAAGCTGGCTCGACTCGCAAGAGGCATAGCAGGGAATTGAACTTGTAGCTTTGCAGCCAGATACCTAAACCACTGGGCTATCCAGACAGCTCTTTTGATACACTGTCTCAAAGAACAAGACTTGCTGGAAGGCATGCTTTCCTTCTGCATCCTAGATGTACAAGTGGGACCGTGCTTGAAGCCAAACAGGCAGAAAGAGAGAAAAGGAAAACGAGGGGTTGTTTGGATTCCTTGGTCTATTTATTTATTTAAAATATGTTTACCCTGTCTTTCTCCTAAAATGTGACTTGTATCATTAAAGGTGACTTGTATCATTAAAAACACAAAATTAAAGCTAAAACAGTAAATCATTCAAATATAAAGAAGAATTAATAACATTATATTAAACGTATTAAGTAAAGGCATTACTAAAAACTCAGTTAGAAGCAACAAAATATTAACCATCCCATACATTGTTTTCTAGAATCTAGATCATCTGATGTTGTAGCATAAAGCATAGCAGGAAACTGCATGGTGAAGGCCTTAAAATGTGATTTATAGTTTTAAAAAATGTTTTAAGATACTTAGATGCCTCCAGGCAAAGTTATAATTGCTTTGTTTTTAATCAATTGTGGTTTTGATTTTTTTGGGGGGGGCTGCCTTTGGTCTCTAGAGGGAAAATGTGTAAAATAAATAAATAAACACTTTTCATTTGACATCTATTTTCACCTATTTGTTTGATGCCAGCAGAGATCACAGCCACACACTTATCCTTCTTCATCTCTGTTTCAGTTGGTTAAAAGTTACAGATTACATCTCAGATAAAAACCTGCCTGTCTTTCAACCTGGAGTCAAGGTGAGAATACTTAAAACCAATTTAAGACCTGGTTATTCAGAAAGGCCTTCCCTCCAGGCACTACTTAACTTCTCTTTTCATCCAATCTTGAACTATTGTTGTGCTGTATATTGTTGAAAAACTGTTAATATATATTTTGAATTGTTTTTATCTTGTTATGTTGTGAGCCATCCAGAGTAGACTATGTCTAGATGGGTGGCGAATGAATGAATGAATGAATGAATGAAGCTTAATGCCACCCCCGCCCCCACTAGCCAGTCAGGTTATGGCTAAAATACACCTGATATGAAATGTGTCTAAGTATATATATTTAAAATTATTTAAATATCATTTGAGGAGGAGCTGAAATGCACCACATTGGGAGGGCATGTTAACTCTTCTACACACAGTGCAGTCCTGTAGCCCATGGCTACATAGGCTGGCTTTTCACCTAGGAGGTGAAGTAAGGATCTGTAGACCCAGAGGTTGGGGGTTCATCAGGTATTCTGGCTCATTGATCCTTTAGGCTAGCTTTTACAGATAAATCTTTCAAAGCATTTGTACATGGGGGCACTATAGAAATGACTGATAAAAGATCTGTTCCTAGTTTTTAACTTTCAATTCATACTCTATAGTTCATTGACGTAAGAGAAGATCTTCCTTTCTGAACCTTTTAAGTAACATCCAGATAATTGTGTAAGTCTAATTTTGTAGTATGCATGGTCATGATACATCAGTTCACCCCATGTGATTCCTATTTGGGTCATCACAATTGTGGGGTCCATTGTACAAGGGCAGTAATATACATTTTGTCTTTCCGTTTTTCTGTCCACCCCATTGCTTACAAAAGAATAAGAGTGTGCACCAAATAATGACAATAAATCAGCAGCCATTGAATTATCAGTGGATAACAGTCGTTGTTGTTGTTTAGTCGTTTAGTCGTGTCCGACTCTTCATGGCCCCATGAACCAGAGCACGCCAGGCCCTCCTATCCTCCACTGCCTCCCGTAGTTGTGTCAATTTCATGTTGGTTGCTTCGCAGACACT